AAATTTGGCAAATTTTCAAGATGGCGGAATCTTGAAAATCAACAACAAAATCAATTACCTTCTTTCATTACATATTGTTTTATTATCTAAAAAGATTGTGTAGAGTAAGGGAACTTAAAAACTATAACTGCGATTTACTATCAAAATTTTGATACTTTTTGGCTTTTGTGTAACTTTTCGAGCAATAATATGATAACTGAGAAAAGAAGGTGGTATAAAAATGTTCAGCGGATTGAAGAGTATCATCCAGACTACGCTGCTTTTGCGTTTTGTCACTTAAATTGTAAATATTTTAGTGGACAAGTTAATTAGTAGCTTCTGACAACGTGAGATTTTCAGAAATGCAGGAAAAGGACTAATCAAATGACACTGTGTAACTGTGCGGTATAGAGGGTCTTGTAGAACAGAAATCTTTTGTATTCTGAAGTCAGAACGAATTCTTGGAAACATACGATATACAGACAAAAATTGGTACATCAATAACCCTATAACCTTAGGACCATTTGTTGTTAGTGGCTAAATGTTAGGAAAACTATTATTTTTCAATGTGAATTAATTAAATCAAGACTATTTCCTTACGTACAGTACTTGTGATAAATAGCTGACAGAAACATTATTAAATAATCAATTGCATCGAATACAAAAAAAAATACAAGCTGTTTCATTCGTCGCAGTTATAGTTTTTACGTGTCCTTACTCTACACAACCTTTTTAGATAATAAAATAATATGTAATGAAAGAAGGTAATTGATTTTGTAGAGCAGAAAATTCTCTATCAGATGAGTCTAAGAATCGAGTCTTAAAACCTCAGTTAAGTACACGGAAATAAGTTGCAAAAGTGTGTCATTATTTCTGGGCCACCCGTTAGTTGCATCACTGTGTTAATCAGCTGTGTACTTACTGTAACTGTTGGATGATCTGGAGAAGACTTTCCACCTGTAGAACATTCTTAAGCACTTGCTGAATAAGTTGCCCCATCTCTTGCTCCTGCTGTTTTATTTGCGTCTCCAAGTTAGCCGATTCTCGATGGATATTTTGAATCTTGGCTTCAATTTTCTGCTTCTGTTGCGTTGCCTGCTGTTTTTCTGCCGTCAGTTGTTCTTTATACTTAATAAAATCGTTTTTTTGATGTTTTTTCATATCAATAACTTGTTCAATTCTTTTTATCATATCTTCTGTTTTGTTCATGTCTTCTTCTATTCTATCTCGTTGTTGTTGATAATCAAGAATTTTTCGATTAGTCACCTCGATTTTTTGATCGATCGCATCCAACTCTTGACGAATTTCCCGAATGTTATTTTCAATACGCTCTATTTCAACAGTCAAACGGTTAATTTCATTCTGTAAACGTTCGACACGCATTTGAAGTTCTTTTAATTCTTGCTCTAATTGTTGCAGCTGACGTTCAACCTCTTGCATTTTCTGTTCAATTTGTTGTTTTTGCTCTTCGAGTTGTTCTCGCTGCTCCTCCAGTTGTTGTTTCTCATCTTCCAATTCTTGCACTTGGTCTTTCAACTCATCTAGTCGTTCTTGTTCTTGATCTAACTGCTGCTGTAACCGATCACGTTCTTGCTCTTGACATTGACGTTCGTCTTGCAAACGTTCTTGCTCATGGCGAAGATTATCCAACTCTTTTTCGATTCTCTCCAATTCAGCCTGCATCCGTTTCAGATCTTCTTCTAATTGCTTCAGTTCATTTTCATTTTCTTTTGCTTTCCTTATTAGATCATCGATTTTTGTTTGCAACCGATCTAACTCATCTTTCGTTGAATGTCTGTCAATTTCTAAACTTTCAATGCCACGTTCGACTTCCAAAATTTCTTGTTCGTTTTTAATGTTAGTTTCTTCAGCATACTCTTGGTTTTGTTGTTCGTCGTCGCTATCACTTTCGTCCATACTAAATGTTTTTTCTTTTCTCCGCTAGTTCACCTAAATGTGCTTTAGAAACTTACCGTATATAAAAGGCGAATGAAAGGAGAAAACCCGAATGACAAATTACTGAGTAACTTTTTTCCTTATAGAGAACTGAAAAGTAAGGAAGAACAGTGAAAAAAACACACGTTTTTATGAAAGAGAAAAATATTTAGAGATTATAGTTACTGTGATTGCGTTTTATTGTATTGAATAGTGGATGTAAAAAAACCCGAACGACAAATTACTGAGTAACTTTTTTCCTTTTAGAGAACTGAAAAATAAGGAAGAACAGTGAAAAAAAACACACGCTTTTATGAAAGACCAAAATATTTAGAGGTTACAGTTACTATGATTGCACTTTATTGTATGGAATGATGGGTGTGAAAAAACCCACAAAAAAGCTTCGTAGGCTGGGAAAGACATGAATCAATGGCATACTTTTGATTGAACAGAAAGAAAACACAACTACTACAAATGAATATTTCTGTATCAGAATATTTATCGTTGGAGAAGAATACATATACGATAAATCGTCAAAATTTAGAAGTTATTCGCAACAAGTATATGACTATCAGTAACAAAGTTGAAATTGATGATGATAGTGAACCAACTGAACAACAATTAATCGATATAGCCAAGCAGCTGAATTTAAAAGAGGATGAAGAGTCTCTGGAATATTTGAGACTTTGTGTTATTAAGAGCAACATAGAAGACACAGAACTAGAATTAAGCGTCAAGTTGCAAGGGGAAGTTCAAATGGACGTAATACTAGAACATTCTAATGTTTTTAAGGTGCAAGAAGACACTTTAATATCCACTTCAATAGCAAAACATTCCAAACCACCGAAATATCAACAAGAAGATAACATAATTCCCCTTTCTGCAATAACGTGTATATTGAGCAAAAAACAGAATACAAAAGAAATAGACCACTTTATTCAAAACTTTTTATTTCAACCGGTGAAAACACAATTACGAGAAATTGATTTAATATCATTTTCGTAAGTAACAACGATGAGTTTATAAATTTTAACTTTTAAATTATGAGACGTTAGCTCTGCAAATCTAGTGAAATGGTCGTATTTTATGTAATAGGTTAAGCAATGATGCAGCAAACCGTCAAAAGACAACATCCAATGATGAAAATAACATACTCAAATCGGGATGTATTTTTGACTTATTTATTCGCCAGCAGCTGATTAATCGATGCGTTCTATCTTCAGGAAGATCGCAGACTAAAATTCGTCTTGTCGAACCTATAAGTTCAACAGATGATTTTGATACATGGCATTTTGATCACCTGCGCGATATCTTTGATTTGTGGATTGTCCCGGATTTTAATAACAAAAAAAAAAAGTTTCCTCAAAAATGGCAATTAGCAACAGACGCAAAAATATTTTGTAAAGTAACTGACAGCTTTGCCGTATCACAAGACTTAGGGAAAGGGAACATTGAACGACCAAACACTCAGTCGTTGGAAACGTTTATCAAAGATATTTGTTTAATTGAAAATTGTGATACATATAAGCACTGGATACAGGCACTACGATTAGAAGATATCACAACGTATTCTCATTTATCAAATTTGAAACAGACTGATTGGGACAATATAGCAAAATTGACCATGAATGCAAAGAAAACAATTAAATCTCATGTTGACAAAGAAAAGCAAACATCAGCGAATGAAAAACGGAAAACAACCAATAAAACTTCGTTTGAAAGCAATGATCAAGATGGTAAGAATATTTCTAAATCAGTACGGTTTTATAGAATAGAAGGACACGGTCTTGTTTTTGTTTTTGAGGGTCGTGTTCTTTTAGGTAGCCAACTGCTTTTATTGCGTCTTTTTAAAAAGATTTCTTTTAATAGTTATTTTATCTAGCTATGGATGTGAAATTCAACTGTCTATCTTTTCCAAAGGTATCAACATCAGGAAATTCCAACATTCTTATATGAATGATTTCTGCCTACTATCTGTTTGAAAACAAACTGTGCGCAAATATTTTTTCAATAGAAGCACGCTTTTCTGGAATTCTTTACTAAAAAGTGAACAGCGCCATCCGATTTAGAGTGGTTCATTGCACTCGTTCCATGGAATTATAAGATTATTCGAAGCCACAGTTTCACTTGACTCCCGTTTTGAAAAGCATATTGTGGACTATCTATATATATAAAATAAGCTATATTGTTATATTAGTTTTGGGATAACTATACTGCTTTTTCAAAGACACTCTCAGCGCCTTCCTTTCGAAAACGATTTCGAAATTTGTCTTGCTTGCGAAAAGACGTATTCCGATTTTGTCTAACATGCCCTTTTATATTTTCTTTTCCCGTACAATAACGAGAGAAAATAAATACATTTTCAGACAAAATAACATGATTATTTCTGTTGTGTTTTGTAACATTTGTTCTGCACTGATCTCAGCGGGAGAAAGGAGAACCTTACTAATACATAGTTAATTTTCAGATGTTCAACAAGTATCTTATTCAGAATCTGAAGTTTTGGCTAATCTTCACATGATCAAACTCTACATGTATCATGTTTTACAAGATCATGTTGAACTCAAAAAGTATCCGTTAGCAAAACTTGAGTATAAATGCATCGAAAAGGCGTTTGAGGAAATGAGAGCAGAAGGTTATGCAGATGATGGTCTTTTCGATGATATGGTTGAATTTTTTCTGCCACTGACAATAACGGAAGACGAACTAGAAACGAAAACCGTTGACCTAGCCCAGCTGAGAAAAGAACGTACTGAAAAGAAGGAAGTTTTGATGAAACAGATTGAAGAACTAAATCGATCATGTAATTTGAATAAACAAATCTACTGGGATTCGGATGAAACTTATCAAAACACAATGAAAAAACGTCAGATTCAAAAAGATCAATATGAAATAACGAAAGGACAACGTTGTCGTTTGACTGATCAGGAACACAGCAAATGGCTGAGACAATTAGAAGCAAGTTGGCGAGAACAAGACGAAAGAGTCTCGCAAGATATTGTAAAGCTTGAAAGCTCAATGGAAACTTTGGATAAAACGATAAAGCAACAAGAAGCGGACTTGGATGACAAGCAGATGGAACTGAAAAATATTGATGAGATTTTGAACGCAAAACCAAAGCCAGTTGATAAAAGACTCGTCAAAGCACATCGTGGTTTCATTATGTACGGTCCACCGGGTTCGTATATAGCTCATCTCGTTTTCATTCAAACTCAACCGTAACGTTTATTATTTGCTCAAGGTACCGGTAAATCTGTCATTATGAGTAAATTAGCTATTAAAGTTGGAATCGCGATGATAGGTCCACCACTTGCAGCAGGCGAATTGAATAGACCACTTGTCGGAGAATCTGAAAGAATTCTTGTATCTTTATGCACTCGAGCTCACCGAATTCCATACTTGCAATGCTGCGTGTCGATAGATGAAATCGATTCACTAGCACCAAAACGTGATGAAGATTCGTCCGAAGGAAAAGTTGATAAAATCAGTGTACTGTTGAGTTTAATCGAAGGCATTAAAGATGTGCCGAATCTCATGTTTTTTTGTGCAACAAATCGTTTGCACATGATGGATGAGGCCTTTTTACGAAGAATGTCTGGAAAATATTTTGTCGGACGCCCATCGTCGAATTCACGTCGTCGAATGTTATCGGATATTCCAGAATGGGCATTAGAAGCAAATCTGCTGGAAAAACTGTCAATTGCAACGACAAATTTTAGTGGAGCTGCTGTCAGGTAGGCCTCTGAGCTTTTATTAAATCATCCTCATTATTGTTCAACATTTTTTAGCGCTCTCAGTCGTTCAATTACCGTTCGCTGTATGACTCAACGACGTCATAAAGCAGATTATCGACTCACATATCATGAAGCATTAACCCTCGCAGATAGTACAGCAAAACAGTATCAGATATTATTGGGTTCAGAGACATTGCCACGTTTATTACTAAGGAATCTGAGTTTGTGTAACAATGCATCCACCTCGTATCACTTGAAAGATCGAGAAAATTTAACATATACGGGAAGAATCGTTATAAATTTATATGATAAATGCGTTAGGATCGAGACAACGTCGCAGAGTGATAGAAAAAGGTCAGTTATCGAACAGCCATTAGATATAACCGAGGTGGCTCTTCAGCAGTTACTTGAAAGAATCACAAGTTATGGAAAGGATCGCAACGTGCAGTTATTACAACTAATCGATTTGAATTTGTTATCGTCTCAAGGAGCTTATGATGAAAAAAAAGTGTTTGAGACATTGAAGGAAAGATATGATGAATGTATATCATACAAACGGTCAATGATAGTTTATGACCTCGATTCGTTAATTGGTATCAACAAATCAGAATCAGACTCGTCGATGGGCAGGTCAATCAGTTCATCAGTTAATAACCACAATATTTACACGTACGTACGAGCAAGATTTCGTGAAGCAGTCATTGAAACAAGTAGCGGTAGAGGGAATATGGCTCAAAACGTCGAAAAATGGGCTGTCGCTGTTGTAAGAGAACAGTTTCTACTCCGACAGTTTTGTATTGATGTCGAATTTACTCGTACAAAACAGGAAGAAAACGAAATCGAGGAAGAACGAAGAAAAAGCGAAGATCTGTTAAAATGCGTCAAATGTAAAGATTATTATATTGAAAATGAAAATAAAATGGGTAAGTGTTTAGTTGCTTCGTTTCAGCAGAATGCTAAGTTTGGTTTTTTCTTAACAGGTAATTGTACACATCACGATGGTTTTCTTTACGATAACAGCGCTCCAGATTTGATGATATATACGCTCACTAATGCAATCGAACTATTAAACCAAAATGAGTGCGATGCGTTAATCCATCCTGAACGACGTGAAGACTTAGAACGACAAAAACTCAAGTATAAATGGATATGTTGTGATGGAACATTGACAACGGGAAATGTCGGTGGATGCAAAAAAGGAAAACATGGTTTCAAATATACCACACCACATCGCGCAAGAACAACAGC